ACAGAACATTACTTGTCCCATCTATCTCTCAACTAAAACCAATACAAACATAGGAGATCCCACTCATCTTGGAAAAGCCTTTCCACTCATAGATCTTAATGTACTTTCTTAGAGACAATCGCCCAACCCCAAATGATAACACACTAGCAATACAGGCCATCTAAGAAAGATGCAGTAGAAACAAACGCTGTAAGAAAACCAAATTTCAGCTGGTAGCATCCTGTGTGTACTCTGGTATCAGTGTTACAGGATCCAATGATGTCAATCTACACTACTGGGGCTCCATTTGCTTCATTCATAATATGACATATGATTCAACTGCCAGTCATGCAATTCATTCTGTATAGGACAAACAAGCTACTCTCCATACAAAAGAATTAATGGATGCAAATCTGATATTTGTCAATAACCAATGCTAACATAATCACCAGTTCATTTCCCTACAGTGTTGTTTTATTCCCTCTCATCTAGTCAACCACAAATAGCTGCAGAACAGAATAGTCCTTTATGCATCTGAGGAAGTATTTTTTGTGGTTTTATCTTCAAGTTTAAGATGGGCAGTCCAACTTGAAAACAGAAGGAATTGCATCTAAAAAGCACTGTAGAAAAACATTTTAGTTCTTAAATGTACCTGTAATAAGAGGGTCAATTATTTTCTGCGACTGGCTTATCAGATAAGGAAGCCTTTTAAAAGACAATGTAGTTACAATCATCATGTCACATTTATGAACATATAATCTGGTTTCAAAAATAAAACTATGTATTTTTACAAAGCTCCCTCAGGCCTTTTCACCATGACAACCATATCAAGTGGATGAGAAATCATGGCAGGGGAACATCCATGGTCATGAAAGGCTCTATTTCTCGGTAAAATTGCATAGTTCTACATGTTTCTAGGATGAAGAGGATAGGGGGCAGGCAAAATTAGTTACATTTGTGCCCATCTTTCTTTCCAGAGCTCAAGAAGATGTATGTAGTGCTCCATCCTCCTCTTTTTTCCCTCTAGAGCCTTGTGTGACAGATTGGACTGGCCCAAGTCACCCAATAAGTTTTAATGGCTGGGATGGATTTAAACCTAAGTCTCCCTGAACATTATTACTTCCCATTATCAACTAAGAGAAAAGGCCAAAATACTGGGCTAGAATATTTGGTGGGAGCCTTATGTCTTCCATTCTTACTATTGGTGAATTAAGCTATCCAGAGGACTGAGGATGCTCTATTTCCAGATCCTTAAAGTGTCATCTTGTGGAAAATGGAAGAGAGAGGGTAGCTAGAGAGAATTACATGTTCCTGATACTGTCCTCTATTTCAAGGAATGCTTGGAAATGCTCCTAATAACACAGCTTGATTTCCCACCTCCTCAAATCATTACACATCAGAGTTCCACCTGCATTATTTACTGAATTTACAAAATAGAGCAAAACATTGTTTGGTTCACAAAGGGCTTAGTTATTTTATTTAAACTGAACCAGCTTTAACAGTGGCCCAAAGCATATCCCGAAATGCCTAATCATGTAGGAATTTACTTTCTAAAAAATTATGGAGCATGTGACAGCTCAGCTGGCTGAAAAAGAGAGCTAACTGAAAGACAGATTGATAGTTTTGGAGTCGGGGTGGGAGGGAAGAGTCCAATCATCTTTGGTATTGGTATATTTGTCGATTTCACAGTGAGATTATGATTATGTAAAATGAGATGGCAGAGAGTTATGTCAACTTTTTTCCTTTTATAAAGAGATGGTGACTTGGCAGCAGAGCAATAGTCAAAACAGCTGGCCAAGGAAGCCCAGGAAGAACTGTGCTGTTGAAGCAATTCTGCCCAACACCTTTTTCTGTTGCTTAGTTGTACCAGCAGGAATGGGCTGGTGCAGATAAAAGGGTCTGTGGAAAGAATGCAGTCCGTTCTTTTTCAAGATCTATCCATAAATTAATACAGCCTTACATGACCTATCTGCTATAACGTATTCTACTGTGCCCTAGGAATGCCAAACGTGGGAGGGGAGAGGAAGAAAAATAGTGTTATTTCTGGGGTACCGCAGCTACGTTCCTCCAGCCCATCTTTGTGCGTCATGTACCCACGACCTCGTTTCCAATCTATTTCACTTCGTTAGTGCTAGCTTTATCCAATTGATTTTTCACCCTCTTGTCTTCCATGTGCGTCAACCACTTTCCGACTCCTGGCTTTTGAAATTTCACTTTCGGGAAGTAAGAATTCATTTTCTGCTCCCTTCCCCCATTCTCTATTGCTGCTGCCTCATTGCCCAGGGTTATTACTATCAAACAGAAGTCACATTCTGATGCACATACAGCCAAGAAAGAACGCTTCGAAACACCTTTTTAAACCACAATGACTTTAACCTAAAACATTAGGTATATAAAGTACACGCTGATAATTTCTCCATTCCGGCTAAAAACTCAAAGATGGCCAACTAATGATCATATTCAAGAGGCACTTAATTTAATATTTCCTTAGCTGTATTTCATTTATTGCGGGGGGAAGCAGTAAGAGGAGGCAGTTGCACAGCCCATGTGGCAGATGACTGAGGTAAAGGAAGTGGAAGGAAATGCACTAAAAATGCATTTTGAAAATACACATTTACCATGGCAAGAATTTATTCCATGGATGTTCCAAGCCCAATCATATCTGGGCTTGACATGAGGCAATCTGGGTCTTGTCAACATAATCAGGCTATAAGTGGAGGCTCCCCTACAGTTGAATGAACCAGCATGCAAAAAGAATTTTCCACTGCCCAAAAAAACAGAATGTCAGGGAGAAAATTAAGCTGGAAATATCCTCACCAATACACTAGTTTTAGTGCCATAACAAAAATGTAAATAGAGAAGACCATCCCTGCAAAGTCTATTTATAATCCAGAAATAGATAGGCTGAGCAGTCCCTTCAGCAAAGCCAAATTATAGGTCAAGTAAGCATATATACAAGAGCCAGCTTGGTGTAGGGGTTAAGGCACCATCCTAAAAACTGGGAGACCATGAGTTCTAGCCCTGCCTTAGGCACAAAGCCAGCTGGACGACCTTGGCCAGTCCCTCTCTTTCAGGCCTAGGAAGAAAGCAGTAGCAAACCACTTCCAAAATCTTGCCAAGAAAACTGCAGGGGCTCATCCAGGCAGTCACCAGGAGTCAATGCTGACCTGAAGGTGCACATGTGCGTGCATACACACACACACACAAACATATATAACCTAGCTTTGTCTCACCTATGGCAGAGAATTATGGCAGCTGTAGTTGAAGACATTTGGAGAATATCAAATTACAAAAGAGTGGAATAGATCCATAAGAAATATTGACACATATCAATGAGATGCTCCAACAATTAATTCTATGTGTATTACTTCCTTGTGGGGGAAGTAATTTTACACAAAGCCCTTCTCCAACTCTAACTGTGCTTGGCCACTAGTGGCAAAGATAACTCAGAGTTGCAATCTTACAGGGAATATTCAGTTGGCAGAAAGTTTTGAATTGGTTAATAGCCTTCAGATACTTTGTCTTCAAGTCTCTATAGAGGAAACTGAATACTTCAAATTATACTTCCCTCTGGGTTCTCACCTGGAGGGAAGCAGGTGGTGCTGTGGAATAATATTATGGCATCTGATTTCTGAAGTTTGCACCCAGGAGGTTCACGGTCCTAGACTTGTATTATTAATATATTTGTGTATTATTATTATTGACCCATGGTACTAATTGCTGAAGTTTTAGTTGTTCTGATTTTAAATCTTGCTGTTGGTCTACAGTAATTTTTAATTAGATTTTAGCCTTAGTGGTTCTTTGAGCACTTGTGGGATGAAGTTGGGGTCAAAAAGATGCTTTCAGTTATATAAAACACACTGCAACCCTCAGTTTACAAGCTTTCTGTCTTATACTGCATGAGGTCATTAGTATATCTAGCTCTGTGCTATTGGCACTGACTGGTAACAGCTCTCTAGCCTTACTTAGCAGGATAGAAGTGCCTACTCTTAAGTAGGGATTCTCTGCAAAATATGCCTGTAAAGAACAGCCTTGATGTCTGTAAAAATAAAACTGCTAATGTATCAATATTGCAGAGGGTGAGTATTACTGCTACAGATGCCCATGTACTTTAATTCTGAAGTTGTTATACAAGAATATAACATGTAATTTCACTATTAAGGACCAGATTTGGATATAGAATTAAATTTTATAGCACTGAAAACACTGAACAGAATATCCAGGAATCATCATTCTCTCAAGCTGTAGAAACTGTCTTACTGAGAAACGTTTACATTATGTAGCCTGTTTAAAACTTGATGTAAAAGGCATTTTACTCAACCCAAGAGAAAAAATCATACTTATATATATTTTTAAAGTATTTCTGATTTTTCCACCGCAAAACTTGACCAAAAAAAAAAAAAAAAGGGAAATTCTTTTTTTGTCCATTTTTTTCACTTTTCTTCAGGGGCCATCATTTCTCTACACTTGGGTAGTAACTGCTAGTGTTCTACCTGTAAGCACTGTGCAAAGAAGTATACAGTAATTCAAAAGAAACTGTAGCAGAGGAGACTAGCATGTTTAGTAGACACAGCAAGCAGCACTGAAAGAAACAGGCTACAGGGACGCAAACATTATTGAAATAACATCTTTTTTTTTTAATACTAGAATGCAAATAATGCTACTGTTAAAAAGACCTAATTAGTTGCTAGTATGTAGCCAATCTTGGCTGATGTCAAAAAACTAAATAGAAATGGACCTAATTTGTATTTTGATAGGAAACCGCCAGGAAATATCACAGCTGTTGGCTAGATTAGGAAGTTGAAAAAGTACCCCTAGAAGAATGCAGTGACCAGCCATTTCCATCTTATTGCCAAGAGAATTATCTAGTCATGTCTATAAGTTCAGCTTGACTCAAAGGAGACTTTACTTACTTTTATATTGATTATAAAACGATACCCTATTCAAAAGCTCAAAAATCAATATGCACCAAAGGCATTATTTCTATATGCTGCTGCTACAGTTTAATCAGCTGCAAATACCTGATGCTGGAATTTAGAGGGATCTCGGCTGCTGACAGGAACCACACTCCCATAGACATGGAGCTCCCGGACAATGGAGACCCCACCCTTCAGCTCAGCTCTGAATGTCTCCTCTGAACACTTTCGCAAACGTAGAAGTCCAATCAGGATGTCCTGCTCAGGATCTTCATAGGCAAGAAAGGTCTCCCAACCACCATTGGCCACATAATCTCTCCGGACCAGTTCAACCTGCTCAGAAGAGAAAGAAGAGCCACAAGGGTGATGAATATCAGACAACTATAATAATAACAACTGTGCAACACTCAAAAGGGACCAAAGCCAATTTCATGGTGATGCAGGCAATTGTTCATGCAGGGGGAGAAAAGAGCGTGAAATGGTTTCACAATGTGCAGTTCACCATAGATAGATTTTTAACAGCCCTAGATAAGAGCCCAAAAGTGTGAATATTGTCCTTCCACAGAAGTAAAAACTTTAAATGAAAACTTCTTTTGTAGAAAATCACATGAACACTTCTCAGAGACCTTAGCATTTGTGACCTCTCAACCCCTTCTGCTGGGAATATATGCAGAAGGCTTGTGCTTGGCCATCATATGTACATTTCTTGCTTGTGGCTGGCCACTGAGGGAACAAAATGTTATAAAAGATCTGTTACCGGTCTGATCAAGTATGTCTCTTCTTAGAACCTAGAACTAAGGTAGGTTCTAAGGTAGGTTTTGAACACTTCTGGCATTATAAGCAATGTAGAAACAAATGGGAGTAGTCACTAGGGCATGAAGACCATGGGCCCCTCCACATGCAGGCCAGCCCTAATCTGGGATTGGTGCCATGCTTCTGACCCCCAATACTGTGGAGTTTCTGGAAGTTTTCACAAAATGAACCCATTAATTGCTAACTGGTTATTGTTGGTTAGTTCAGTTGCTGCTCTAGAGGAAACACTTGAAGACAGGCCTACAGTATCTCTTCTGGAGTTTTGCACTGGTAAGAACTGCCTTGTCCCATCACCTGGAGATCTTCTCTTTCTCATGAGGTTAAGGAGTCCTTTCTGCATCCACTCTGATCAGCTGTGACTCCATCTGGGTAGAGGCCAGGAATTTCCATTATACAAGCCTCTGCTTGAGAGAAATCAAACACTAGGACAATGTCTGTGACAGCCTATTCTTCAATGATCTGTGCTTTGTACCTATGCTTGCTGAGACTGCCCAGATTTTTTCACCTTGCTCCTGCTTTGTTGCTCAAATTCCTGAACCCCTACTGATACTGGGTATTGAACTTTAGACTCTATCTTGTTTCTGCTTATATTGACAGAGTCTGTTATAAATTCTTGCTGTTGCTTCTGATAATCTGATTATACATTTGGGCATACTGTGTAAATTTTGGTGCAGAAGATGATGTGATGTACTTGGGACCATGTCATATAATTTGAGGAGGATTTTCTAGAGTGTTGGAAATATGCTATGACTTTCTTAAGTTTATTTGAATGTTTTAAGCATAATCTAGGGCTTAAAGGTTTTAATTTTATTTCCTGCCAACATCTAATGGAAAATAACCCTGCTGCTTTTAATTAATATAATCCATTGGCTATAATATCCCATGATAGCACCCCCTGATCATCTTGAGCTAAAAGCACAATAGGACAGAACTGTTTTAATTTGCTTTCAAAATGCAAGTAGGGTTGGAACCTGGGATCACACATACTTCCAGGGGAAGATTGAGAAATCTTGTCATCTCGTCTATACCCCATACTTCTCACATGGAGGGGGAACTCTCAAAGGCTTTCTATAAATTACTAGACTGGAGAGGTAGATTTAATTCTGACAAGGTGTTGTGTGATGAATCCTGATGTTGTGCTCTGTAGGAGGTTAATGATAACCACCAGCACTTTGCAAAGGATCCAGACACCTATTTGTAACCAGCGCAGTGACTTTAATACAGGTGTTTTGTACACTGGTGATGCTGTCCCACCAATATTTTGTACCAGCTGCATCTTTTTGGAGGTTTGTAACCAAATTGCAGCAGCATCTCAGACAGCTCTGGGGGCAATATGCAGTCTGCAATTGTCCACCCCTGACTTTAGCCTTCTTCCAAAGGTCTAAATATGTAAGATATTAGAAGCTAAAACTTGCAGTTTAACTTAGCTGCCAATACACTGGCACTAGTTCAACTGGTAATGTTTATCTGTCATATAGCCTGATGGCCGTACCACCAATATTCAAGTGGCCACATTTTGCAATACCTGAAGTTCCGCAAGCCTTCTTCAAAGGCAGTCCCATCATGAGCATATTGAAATGTTCAACTTGAAAGCCACTAGTACAAATTGGCCCTCTCCCTCTGCAGCCAGTTTATCAGCTGAAGCTAGTAAGAATCATTCTAGGGTTCTGCTGCCACCTAAGCCTCCTCACTTAGCACAAAACAGACACCTCCATTCAGAAAGGTCAGCTTCCATAGCCACAGCATCTTATCTGGATTCCTCCTCAATTTGTCTGATCTCAGACTACCTCCAGGAACTGATCAAAGAGTTCCATGGTTCTTCCTGGAATAAGTAGCTAGAAACAAAAGGTAAGCTGATTATATTATATTATACTTCAGCATGTTTATTGTATCATTTTAACATATATTTGCATGCTGCCTCACTGAAAGATTCTAGGCAACTTTCATCTCATAAAAACATACCACAAAGCAACATCATGTAGCCATAATATATATATATATATATATATATATATATA